TCATGCTTCGAAGCATTTGTTTGGTAAAGTGTTGAACTAGTGGTATTAATAATTACTTAGCGTAATCACTGAAAACTGCATAATGTCCAGCTGGGTATATAGGGGAAAGAAATGGTTGAATGGAGTAGGAGGCATTTCAGTAGCCTGGAGTCTGAAAATGGTTGATCTTTTACTTTAAGAGTTATAAAATGATGTGCTTTTCCTTTTCGATGTGTTTGAATGACGAAATTGATGCAATTTTAGACCTCTACCTCCTCTTCCTGATCTGGTGGTTTCGGAGGAAACTGTGACCAAGGCTGCTGATGTTACGAGAGGGTGGATTAACAATGTGCTGTTGATTGCATGTGACATTGCTATTGGTGGGAACTTGAAGCTCTTTGTTCAGGTGTGTTTTATTGTTCTTGTGATGCTTTTTGCATATTTCAAATCTAATTGGTAAAACGAATTGTGTGATGTTTAAGTTTGGGTGGCTTTGGTCAGGTTGCTGCAGGATTGTGGCTGGTGTCATACATCGGCAGCTTTTTCAACTTTCTCTCTTTGCTATACATTGGTGAGATATTTTGCTGCTTGATTCTTTGGAGTCAGATTTTACAAACCTTTCTGACATATGATTAACTTGGACTTCCTTCTTTTCTTTTGAATCAGGGGTTCTTCTTAGTCTCTCGCTACCTTTTCTGTATGACAAGTACCAAGATCAAATCGATATCAAGTTGGTGGTGGCTTATGATTCTGTTCAGGTGCAGTACAGAAAGCTTGATCATAAATTGTTGAGAAAGATTCCAGGCATGCTGAACAAGGAAAAGAAGACACAATAGAATAGACTTGGTGTAAGTTCTTATATTTCTCACATAATATAGAGCAAAAGTTGGTGTCTTGTGTAACTTCCTTTTTAAATTTCTTCAGAATTCAAATAAATAGCAGTGTACTCTTGATTTTCACTTATAGAGTCATGCCTATTTGTTTGCAATTTTGGGTATTTGTGGCTACTTTTAATATTCTGTGCCTTCTTTTCTATCTGACTCACACTCAAAATCTGATGGTCAGTCTTATGTGCTGCAGAATCTCCTACATCTTTACCACATATATTGTACGCCGGGTTTTGTAGATGCATGTGGACATTTGTACAAGCATATGCAGTTTTATGTTTTGTTCAAGGAATATATATTTATGTGCTTAAAGGTGCTATCATAGTTGAGGGCTTTTTGAAGCCAAAGGTTTTTAATTGCTTATGATATCTTGAGAAATAAGTTTTCACCCTTTTTTGAAGCCATTGTAGGTTGGCTAATGGTAGTGCTTATTTTGACAGAACTTTTATAATTTGCTATATTTGGAAAAAGGACACACACACGCACACACATATATATATTTAGCAAAACCCATACATGGGGACTTTTTACATCTATTGACATGTTGCCTGTAACATTTAATAGGCATCATGTCTTGAGAAGCCAACTATTCATTTAACCAGTTTTTCCTCATTCTAGCAGATGAAGTTGGTGGCTATTCTGGGATAATGATTTCCTAGATGCAAATGTTGTTTTACTCTTACTTGGTTAGTCTTTTTTTTTTTTCTCCAATTTTTTTTATTTTTCTTAGTCTAAAACCTAAGTAAGCAAAGTATGGGCATTGCATTTCAACTAGGAAACTGATGATTTAACCAACTCTGTTAAGCTTGGTTTTTGTCTTATCCCTGAGCTGCCAATTTCATCTAGAGTGTTGAAGAAGTCAATTACTTAATTTGGTTCTTATTCAGAGGATGCAAGATTCTTACTCTGCACAGAATCTTTTTGTCTTTCAACAATTTTAGTTTCAAGGGTCTTTTCATTAGTTTTGCTGCTGTCTTGATCATCATGTAAGGACTTAGACATGGAGAATGGTATGCACCTGGTGCTAAACAAGTTTTTTGAATTTGCTTGTGCTTGATGTATTTGTAGATATACTAGTCATAGGGTTTGGAAGGGGCATCTTTGTCCAATTGGTGGCAAAAAGTTGATCGAAGTCATGCATTTTATACTCGAGTATTTCTTTTGATATCAATGTAGATCACAAATCATGTCCTGACTGGTTCAACATGCTGTTTGTTTGTCTAGAGTGTTTTCTTTTTCTGTCCTCTCTTTCTCTAGATTAGGAACTCTATGGGAAATATGACCTTGTTTATATGATCTTGCAACTGAATATACCTCTAAGAGGCTCACTTCAAGTTCAAAACCAGGAAGTTGAAGGTTCTTTTTACTGGAACAATGTGAGTCAGTAAGATAATGGTGTGATTTGTCAACTTTAGTTCGTGATTTCCAGTTATTGACAGGGTTCAGTTTACGCAATGGTTTATGTAGCTTTATTTATGCTTATGTAGCTTCGCTTCATTGATGCATAAATAGAGCTTATATGGAGACTTTTTTTGCATTCTAAACTGAGGATTAGAGTTGTTGAGGTAGTTACTGCACAACATTCCTGTTCTTCCGATTGTTATTTGGTGCCTTTGTTGACAATGTGCAAAAGCTTGTGATTTTGATGCAAAGTTTCACGCTGAAAGTGTTTGGAGTTGTTCCCGCAGAGGCACTTCTGATTATTTCAAATTAATTGCAGGGCCATTTTGCTGGGCACTTATAGCGTGGGTGTTTACTTGCCGTTAGGGGTATTAACATGAAGACTGGATAGACCAATATTGTCTTAAGCGGCTCCTGATAAAGCTAATCTTGTATTTTTCACACTTACTGTAACCAATTCCTGATAACTGTGGGTGATACAACATAGTGTGGCTTTGATGCACTTGCTTCTTCCACCGGATGAAAATTCTCTGGCGATTTTGGTTTTGGTTGTGCAAATGAGTGTTTTGAAGGGTTATGCCCATTTAGATATTAGGAAAACTGTCAACCATCAGCTTGAAAGATCCCATTGGAGGAGGCTTCCCTTAAAGCTTGGATCTATCTACCTATTGTGATTGTAAACATTAATCCTCTTGTTATGAACATTCCGCCGAGTGTTCAACCAAATATGATTGATGTGCATAAGCAGATAAAGAAAAATTTGTCATGGAGTTGAACCATTTTTTTTGTTTGGCAATTTTTTAAGGGTTAGCATTATGACTATCATCTTTCTCGTTGCCACATGAATCTTATTACATGTTGCATATGGAGCATTCCTTTTCACCCATAATAGCTGCAACTGCACATCATAAACCCCAAGAAATAAGTCCCCTGTAAAGCAACCCCTTTGTTCTTGTACATATACATATACGTATACGTATACGTATACGTATATGTATATGTATATGTGTATCCTTATAATTAGTAAATTATCATAAATCCATTTTTCGGTCTAAGAAAGTAAAGGAAAAAATTTATTCTATGTCCTTAGCATTAGGCGATTAGAAATAAATTACTCATTTTTTACAATCAAGTTCACTCGCTGGTTTGTGAGCCTGTAAATAATTTGTTCATTGTTTTGTGAATTCACTCGGGGCTTTTACATAAGCTGTGAAGAGATTGAGTAAAAATTACTTTGCTCTGCATAGAATTATCAATAATTGATCATTAGTTGCAAAGCTCGTGCAGCCATTGCAGTTGGAACATGTTCCACATAAATGTGGAACAGCACAAGATTCTACTTTAGCTTAAAATTTGGCTTACCATTAAGCATTGTTTTGAAAACCAGATCGGATCGCGAACCTTTCATAGCTCTGATCCGATTCATACTTAGGATTGATTGGACTTAAAAACCAGCAAGAATTGTCGAATAATGCGAATCGGATTGAACAGTTGAATCAATGGTTTTTTTTTTTTTTGTCTATTAAATTGAAAAAAATTAAAAAAAGAATAAGTTTTCCTTAACTCTAAAAATTAAATATTAAATGCCACATTCACTCACTTTATTCTCATTTTTTGCCTCTTATCAAGTTTGCATCTTTATTTTCTATTTTCCTGATTTCCTCCAAACTTCTTCTTCTTCTTTTTTTTTTTTTTTTTAAAAAGTTGCAATCTCTAAATCCAAAAAACGTGAATTAAAATTTAAACTCACAATGTCTAATTCCCAAAGACGTGAATTTTTTATAATTTGAGAATATTGTGGTATTTTTGGATTGGATTTAAGATAATTTTTTTGACAGATACAATTGAAATTGTGATGAAATTTGTTTGTTTTAACTTATACTTATAAAATTTTTTTAGTGAAAATCCAAATTCTTTCAAAATATCAAACTTTTCATCATGTAAAATCTTAAATTAGTTTATTGCATGTCTTATTTTGTGCACATATATATATTTATATAAATTATTTTTTAAAAAATTCATTGAATCAGGATTGAACCCGCCCGATTGGTTGAATTTCGACCCGAGCATCTCATCGGTTCAATTAACGGTCCGAGTTTCAAAACATTGACGAAAATACCTCAAGCAAATATGCAGTGGTCCACCACATATAAGTTCTAAAATCACCTAAAATTTGGTCAAGCGGGAACATCTATCTACTTGCATTCACCTATAATGTAGACATGACCAAGTAATCAAACATATCGTTAACTATGCACTGGAAGTGAAGCTGAACTAAATTGGCCATGTCTATGAATCACATATCATCAGGTAAGTTAAAAAATGAATAAAGAACAAGCATAGAATGTTTGACTGCATGCATAAACAGGATAATCACTGCGTTTCTTTAGGGATGTATTAATCATTAGTTTACTGGTTTTGTCTTTTAATTTGTCATTTCAATGCACTTGCGCAAGAATTAAGAGTATTACTGTAGAAGAGGAACATACAACTATTCATTTCCTCACAGTGTCGTACAGATAGACTCTTGCATCAGCAGGATCTGTTTAATTAAACTACAGTTAAGGGTGAAAATCCCCCAAGTCTTACTTCCTGATTACAATGAATAGTTACAGGGGATAGGAAGTAAAACAAGCCCCGGAAACCAGGAATCGATCGGTTAACTGTCCAAATGAAAGAGCAAAAATCTTTGGTAAGAGAAGAAAAGAAAGTTGGAGGGAGCTCTGAAACTGTTTATAAACAACTTTCTGGAATTATGACTCCTTTTGTAGTCCCTCCGATGTTCTTGCAAAATGATTGTGCTTTCCTGTTCAAATAGGTGAGCTTGATGTCGTGCAGCCTGATACCTCGGCATGGATTACTAGGACTACAATCAAATATCACAGCAACCTGAGTAGTTGATGTGCCTCGTATGTTTTGGTATGTGACTTGATTAATCTTTACACCAGAAGTCTGTAAAAGAAAAAGGCAAATGATCAAAGGGAATAAGTGATGGTGGAGGATTTTCCTAGTGTCAATTGATAATCTGTGATGCATAATTGATGGTTACTAGCTTATTACCTGACGAGGACATCCTTGGTTGTTTGGGCAGTAATTCTGATCAATGATTATAGGATTATCCACATTCTTCATGATGATGTTTCGAAAGTTGATATTGCTAACAAATGCAGTTGTTGGCCTTGCCCATGCTTTAATTCTTAATCCATTATCAGCTCCAGTGAACACCGAATTCGTGAGTGTCACATTCTGCACACCATCTTCATTGAAGTCCCTGCCCAAACTCCCAATGCTGCAATTTAGACACTTTGTATCAGTCAATTGCACATGCTAACATCCTTTGTTAGGAAGTCTACCTAAATGCTGCAATTGAGTACCTGACGCCATGTCCAGGGCCACACTGTATCTTTTCCATCCACAGGTTTCTTGTTCCTGGACCAATTGATATGCAGTCGTCGCCTGTTTTAATGCTACTGCCAGTGACGGTAACGCCTGTTGAGCCTTGGACATGAATGCCGTCAGTATTTGGGCTCAGGTCTGGAGCTACAATCCTTACATTTTGAACTTTTACATCCTTGCAGCTGTTAACCACAACATGCATAAGCTGGCTGTTGATTGATGTCAAGCCGCTGATCAGCCCATCATTCACCCAATTGAATGTTATAGACTGCAATTACAGACGTGAATATGAGTTATGCAAATTCCCAGGTACCGGACTCCATCCATAAAATAAAAAAAAAAATTACTATACTTGAAAACTATTGATTCTCTCTCACTTTTTCCTATATGCTTCTGTCACTGAAATTCAGCGACAATAAAATGGTAAGGATACATACCCTTGCTCCAACTGGGCAGTTCTTCCCTGACTGGCGGCATGCCCAGAACCCTGCTCCCTTAGCATCCAGTGTTCCGCCGATGACCGAAAGCCTACTGACCTGAATGAACAATAGCCAGTATCCCGAGTTGCCAAGAGCCCAGTAGTTATCAGGAGCAACAAGAGTCCCATCAATCTTCACAGTGATTCTGTTTCTACAGGGTCCTTTAAACACTGCTGCCTTTATCAGGTAACGCCCTCGAGGGACATAAACAGTGGCCGGTTGGATCGACCTACAAGCTGACGCCCAGGCCTTAAGGAATGGCTGAGTTGAGTCAGTTCTGCCATCCGGTTTTGCTCCAAAACTGAGCACATTGAAGGATGCTGCCCTTGTTATGCTCAAAAGGGTTGCGCAAGAAAGGAAAAGAATGGATGAAACTCTATTGCCCTTAGCCATTTTGCGTACTGGCCTCTGGCTCTGTGAACTGTTAAGCTGTGCAATTCTGATCTTGGCAATGAGTGCTACATATATATACAGATTGTCTTCTGGGGTAAAGGGATTGAGGCAACAGTTAGATGGCAGTTTTTTTTTTATTTTCTTCTGTTAATGTACAAATGATTGATGGTGGAATCATGGAATTAGTCAATTGTTGTTCATGGTCCGTCATGGCCTACTTCAACTACATGTTATGATATGTACGGTGACCATGTGATAAGCTATCATAAGAGCATTTTCACACCATTTTCATATACTAGTTCTAACTTTTTAATTTGGTTTTTGAAACAAGAAAACTTTATACAAATGGGTACCAAGAAATGAGTGGTGGCTAGGGATTAGAAGTCAACAGGTTTGTTACTTGATAAACACTTTGAGATTCCATTGAGCTGATGATCAAATATCATTCCTTCGTTTGAATTAGCACATGGCTCTTTGGCATACAAAATTGCTTGCTTATAACTTCTAGTCTTGAACAGTAACTTAACGTTTAAGTTGACATACACGAAGAGAAGAGGAGGGTTGGATTGAGCGGTTTAGGGTTTAAATAAATCGGAGATCCTGAGTTTAAAACCTCTCATTTAAAGAAAAGAATAAAATAAAAAAGGTTGACATAAAATGAAAAGGGAATATTGCTTAAAGGTCAAAGATTTAATTTTAAATTACAGCTTGATCTTCAATTAATCAATTGTATGACTTTCTGGCATGGCCACAAAATTCAATGTCAATGCTAATTTTTTATTGCAAACTGTAAAAATGGCACTGTCATACAAGATGCTAGGTCCTAGAAACATTATTTTCAAGCAAGATTAATGGAAGAAATAAGGAAACTACAATGAACCACAAAAAAAAAAAAAAAAGCTCATATTATTCATTGAGACATGAATGACAAGGTAGGCAAGCTTATACATGCAAGCATATATAGCTAAGAAGGTTTTGGAAAATAATCTTAGGATCCTTCAAAATGACTCAAGAATTGGAAGCAAACCTTAGTAAACATTAGTAATTTGCACTGAAAATTAGAATCAATGTATTCTAGCAGCATATATATGAGAAAAAAGAATAACCAAAAATCCCACTTTCAACTCCATGCATGTACTCTTCTCATGTCCATGGACATAACTTCTTCCATTATTTGCAAAAACATGGGCTCCATTTGAATTAGCTGTTTTTGGATTTGTTTTTCAAAAACACCACTGTAGCATTTTGAATCTGAAAAACGGGTCTAAGTATTAACTGATTAGATTGATGATGCCAAAAGGAATATTCTATATCTAAATTGGCTTATTCAATTCACATTAAACAAGAAATAATTAATAGTTTTAGAGCCAAAGAAACTTATGAAGCCATGTGTATAAGTATGGAGATTACGGTCTTGGGAAGTAAATGCATGCATGAACCCGTTGGTTGCCATGTTATTTGTTCTTCCTTGGATTCATTCATAGCTCATAAGTACGGCTTTAATTGTACACTTATACTCTATTTAGTCAAACGCTTAAGTACGGCTTGGTTATATTACCGTAAAATTAAGCATATTTATGCGTTGAAAAAATATACAATACACTTTATTTATTAATTTTTTTTTTTTACATACAAGAAGCCATCAATTTTTTTCTTAGGGATCGAACTTTGTTATTTAATCTAAAGAATATTGAAATTGTGTAGCAAGAAAAAAAACAAAAAGAAAATTACATCTATATCACGCGTCACAACCCTCTATTTTTTGGATCAATTTTTTTCTACACTAACAACTGTATATTGTACACGACTTTGGATTCATAATATCTATACAAAATTTAGATTTAAGTCTATAATTTTATACATATGACGTGCATTTAATCCGTTAGTACGCTAATCTATTAGTGAACGAGAGTTTTATCATATTTTTTTGGAGTAATGCATATGTATATGTGTGTGTGTGTGTGAGTGTGTGTATATATATATATATATATATATATATATATATATATATATATATATATATATATATATATATATATATAGGGACCAGGGGCGGGAACTGTTGCAGGTGCAACCATTCATGAAAGATTATGTGCATTTTGCATACAACGTAACTCTGTTTATATATGGTGTAATTTATTTTCAATAACGTATAATTTTAGACCCACAAAAAATTGTGAGTCCCACACATGTTGTTAAAAACGAGGTAGAAGATGAAATTTGGACTGTATAATTTTTTTTGTTCCAAACTTGACCGTGAACTGCTCAGGAACGATCCGCCTGATGACTGTCCCTGCCCCAAATCCATATATATAGGTTTACTTTTGTTTTTCTTTTTAATACACCATAGTGAAGGCTGAAGAGAAGTGGGGGCACTGATACAGTTCCACGAGACACGTGGAGCAACTGCGGAGCATTGTCAGGCGGAATAGCCGCCGATCTTGTAGGTTGTAGCCGCTGCTGCTTTGCCTCAAATATTTTCTACTAGCAGAAGCTAAATAGCGTTGGGAATTGACATCGTATTGGTTTCTTTGTACTAGCTGTGAGTTAATATTTACAATGGGTATAATTAACTTGTACATAATTAACTTTTATCATTTGCTAATTACTTGTATAGCATAATAAGCATATACTAATTAGCACACATATATAAGACTGGTGTGTCAATAAAGACAGGAAAAAAATGGAAAGAAAGATCATCAAAAAACGCGCTCGAAATTTTGAACTGCAGATGGTGTGGTTTTTTGTATCATATATCAGAATCTATTCAAATCTTGTTATCTTGCTTCCTTATTACAATCAGCAGTTACATGGGGTTGGAATTAAAACAAGCCCTGAAAGCAGGAATTCATGTGTTCGTATGATCCTAAATGAAGAGAAAAAATTTATGGGAGAAAAAAAAGGAGTTATAAACAACTCTCTGGCATGATGACTCCCGCTGCAGTTCCTCCTATGTTCTTGCAAAGTGATTGTGCTTTCCTATTCAAATAGGTGAGCTTTATGTCTCGCAACTTGATGCCTCTGCAAGGATTACTAGGACTACAATCGAAAATGACAGCGACCGGTGTTGCTGATGTTCCCTGTATATTTTGGTATATAACTTGATCTATCTTTACACCAGAAGTCTGCAGGAAAAAGAACAAAAAACACACGAAAGTTGATTAGTAAGTTTTGATTTGTGCAAGAAATGGATTAATTTGTGGTCTATCATCATCTGTTTCTGTTCATTTATTACCTGGCGAGGACAACCTCGGTTGACGGGGCAGTAGTTCTGATCAATGATAATAGGATTCTCCACATTCTTCATGATGATATTCTGAAATTTGATGTTGCTGACAAATGCAGTGGTAGGTCTTGCCCATGATTTTATTCTCAAGCCGTTGTCGGATCCACTGAACACTGAATTTATTAGTGTCACATTTTGGACGCCATCTTCATTGAAATCTCTGCCCAGGCTCCCTATGCTGCAATTAACATGCTTGTTCCATTAGCTAATTTCTTCTTCTTTGGGATGTGCAATCTGAGAATGAGTAAGAATGAAGAATACTAATTACTATTTTTACTGCGAAAATTTTCTGACTTGAGGTTACCTGACACCATGTCCGGGGCCACATTTTATCTTCTCCATCCACAGGTTTCTTGTTCCAGGACCAATTGATATACAGTCATCTCCCGTTTGAATGCTACTGCCACTGATGGTGACACCTGTTGAGCCTCGGACATGAATGCCATCTGTATTTGGGCTCAGGTCTGGAGCTACAATCCTTACATTTTGAACTTTCACATTCTTGCAGCTGTTAACCACTACGTGCATAAGCTGGCTGTTAATCGATGTCAAGCCGCTGATCAGTCCATCATTCACCCAATTGAATGTTATAGACTGCATTTGCGCACATAAAAATGTAGTGAACAAACTATGAAAGAACAGAAAAACCGTAATACTATCATGATTCCTATAAAGAAGATTTATCCAACATACCCTGGCTCCGACAGGGCAGTTTCTCCCTGACGCGCGGCATGCCCAAAATCCAGCTCCCTTGGCATCCAGAGTTCCGCCAATAACCGAGAGGCGGTTGACCTGAACGAACAATAGCCAGTAGCCTGAGTTTCCTAGACCCCAGTAATCATCAGGGGCTACAAGAGTACCATCAATTCGCACAGTAATCCTGTTTTTACATGGCCCTCTAAACACTGCTGCCTTTATCAAGTAACGCCCTCGAGGGACGAAGATGGTGGCTGCCTGGACAGAGCTACAAGCTGAAGCCCAGGCCTTGAGGAATGACTGAGTTGAGTCAGTCCTGCCATCTGATTTTGCACCAAAGCTGATCACATTTAAGGTTGCAGCACTTGTGATGGTCAAAAGGGCTGTCAATGATAGTAAGAAAATGCATGAAGCTCTCAGGCTGCTAGCCATTTTTCTGCTACAATTGCAGCAGTGTAATACAAAGCTTGGCGAATGTGTGATCTTGATTGGTGCTGCTGGTGCTACATATACAGGTTCTGTAGGGAATGGGATCAGTTGGAAGCAGTTATTTCCTGTTAATGATTATGGATTGATTGATGAATGAACAAGTCAACTGTTGTTTAAAGGGTACGTCATGGCCTACTTCAATTGCATGTTAAGATATGTACGGAGACCATGTGACTGATAAGCAATCTGAAAGAGCATGTTTGCTCATTTTCTTGTGATAATTCTAAGTCCTTGATTAGTTGATTGCTAAAAAGTCCAAAGAAGATTAAGAGACATTTGCAAATAATTCATAATTGGGACCATTGAACCAACAATCATTTGGCTGAATTTGCACATGACTCAGAGTCTCACAAATTTGCTCAAGTATTAATCAGAGTCTTTTTTTAGTGGTTAGTTCACGCTCTGTTTGGATTATGTTAAGCCAGGATGAAAATTTATCATGTACAATAGTACAAGTGGATGTTAATTGAAGAGGTTAATTATGATTGACTTCTTGAAATGGTCATGGTATTCAATTGCTACGAGTCTA